ATTATCTCACTAGTATTATCTCACTAGTATTATCTCACTAGTATTATCACACTAGTATTATCTCACTAGTGTTATCTCACTGCTCCATGGGAAGTGGCTGAAGGTGGGGCCTTGGCGCTCTGAGCCTGGATTACCCAAGCTGCTCTTGGACATGGAACGTGACCTCTCTGGGGACGGAGCCTGAACTTGTGCGTGAGGTTGAGAGGTGCTGACGAGATGTTCTGGAGTTGGGCTCACCTCGACGCACAGCATGGACTTTGGAACCGGTCTCCTTGAGAGGGGCTGGACCTTATTCCACTCTGGAGTTCCAATGGTGAGAGCTGGTGTGGGTTAGGGCTGGGCGATATATCGATATGTCAAAAATAAAAAAAATAATTTTATTTGCGATATAAACTGTTATTTGGATATAAACAATATAGTTCTAGATGAAAATCTGCTGGCTCTGCAGTCTTCTTGCTTCTCCCACACGACCCCCACCCGTGCGCTCTCCTCCTGCTTCTCTCCAGGTGGAGCGGCACGTAGCAGCTACAGAAGGAGCGGCAGCGGGTCGCAGAAACAGGAAACTAATAATGGCTCTGTTATTTGGAGATGGTTTGGATCTAGTTTGTCAGGTGTGCAACAGAAAAACGTTTTCTGTTGACAATGACGAAAACAAGTCCCAACGAAATTGTTCGAGCACAACAAACTTTTTCACCATTTTTTAAACGGCGTTCTAAAGTGGAGTATGAAGCGTGTGTTAAACGAGGTGCTGCAGCTGTGAAGCTTCCTTCCCTGAGACAAACTACGGTACGAAACTCTTACCTGTGCTCTGCCTTATGACAGGTGAGTGAATAAATCAGCAGCTGATCATATCAATACAAACACGGTCTTTAGCAGCTAACAAGACGGCTAACTTTAGTGTGTTTTTACTGATATGATCAGCTGCTGATTTACTGTGGCGCTGCCTCGTCTCGCTGTAAGACTTGAAAATATGTGGACCGTTGTTTTTCTGCGCAGCCAGCAACCCCTCGCCTCCTCCTCCTCCTCCTCCTCCGCCTCCTCCTCCCTCGCTGAATACAAGCAGCCCCTCCCTGCTGCCGTTCACACACGTCTAACACAGTGAAGGCGGTGCAGCTGGGGAAGATTATTATTTAATACACGTTAAAAAAAGGTCTAAAACAAACTTTATTATATGTAAACAGTTTATTTTTTTAGACATTTATTTTGTAGCTGCAGCTATTGTTAACAAATGTGCCTGTGGGACAACTGGGACCAAGCTTTGACTCTGAAATATATTTTTATTATTTATGGAAAGAAAAAATATGTATTTATCTATACAATATATATAATATCGTATATTGTGATTTATCTTAAAATACTGAGATATTCATTTTGGTCCATATCGCCCAGCCCCAGTGTGGGTCTACCCTTAGCCCCCTGACTTGGTGCCTGTGTGTTGGAGTTTTCCTTGGTAGGTGAGAGGGTAGCTTCCCTGCTCCTTCAGGTTGAGGGGACAGGCTCTCACTGTTGATGTGCCTATGCGCCAAACGGTAGTTCAAAGTATCTGACCTTCTTGGAGTCCTTGGCAGGGATGCTGGAAGCTGCACCAGCTGGGGACTCCTTCATTCTGCTGGGGGACTTCAATGCCCACGTGGATTATGACAGTGTGACCTGGAGGGGCTTGACTGGGAGGAACGGCCTCAGGTCTGAACCCGGGTGGTGTTCTGTTGTCCACAGCCTTTGCTGTGATGGTTGTTGGCCTCAGGGTGGAAAGCCACAGGATTTCTTGTATTTTCTAGTGTTTGGGATCAGGTTGTTGGTGTCACCTTTGGTTCATTTCACTGGTGTGGCGTCACGAGCGCTGCAGTATGGCTGCACTGACGGGAGCTCCGCTTCGACTCGATCTTTTTTTGTTCCTGTTCTTCTTCTTTTAACTTTGTTTCCATCTACAATGCACATCCACGCTACAGGTATGACCACGGCACACTTGTGGAGTTTTCTGTGTCGCTGCCTTGCCATCATGCCATCCTATCATCATACCATCCTGCCATCCTGTCATCATACCATCCTGCCATCCTGTCATCATACCATCCT